TAACCAATTAAGGGTGGGGCATTAACACTGTCAGCTACAAGACCTAACCACAAGGGATCATGCATTATTCTGATTGACTCTGGTTTCTTAATCGAGGCCCCCTGTACTGATTAGCTTTGTTGTGTAACGAACCACCCCAAACCACAGTGACTTAAATCAATAAATATTTTATTTAGCTCACAATTCTGTGAGTTGACCAGGTGATTTTAAAATCTGGGCTGACTCTGCTGATCTCTGCTCAGTTCTCTCACATGTCTATACTCAGCTGGTGGATCAGCTGGAAGCCAGATGATACAGGACAGCCTCACTCACATGTCTGGTGATTGGCAGGCTATTAGCTAGGGCACCTCAGTTCTCTTCCCTGTAGCCTCAATCTCCAGCAGGCTGTCCTAGGCCTCAGGGTCCCAAGCACAGTGAGAGAGCAAACTCCAATATACAAGGGCTTTTCAAACCTCTACTTGTGTTCTCTTTTCAAGAGGTGAAGTCTTTCTCTTCCCCTTCAATCTGGGGTGGCCTTTTGATATGCTTTGGCCACTGGGATCACAACAAATACAATGTAGGCAGAGACTTGAAAAGTGTTTACATTTAAGGACTTATACTCTTGTTCTTGGAACTCTAAGATGTTATATGAACAAGCCTGGGTTAGCCTTCTGGAGAATAAGCAATATATGGCCCTGTTACCCCATCACCCCAAGTGACAGCCAGCCAACCACTAGACATGTGACTGAGGTCATCTGGGATTTCACCAACTCACCAGCCAGGTTCAGACCCATGAGTGAGCCCAGTTGGGCCCAGGAGAATCATGAGTTAAATAAATGCTGGTTGTTTTAAGCCAATAAATGTTGAGGTGTTTGTTACATGGCAAAAACTAACTGATACATGGGATAAAGTAGTGAAGTTATATTAGGTTATCAATAAAGCCTCACTGAAAAGAGAACATTTAAGCTGAGACTTTAAAAATGCCAGGGAGATGTTGATGCTAAGAGGGGGTAGGGCATTCAAGGCATAGAGAACAGCAAGTGCAAAGGTCATGAGATAGGAAAGAGCTTGGTGTTTTGAGAGAATTGAGAGAAGATAAGAAGAAAGGCTTCTAGGACTGAGGACCAGAGAGAGGGAGAGAGAGAAAATTGAGGGGTGCATGGGAAATCTATTAATATGCTTATCAGGGGAATGGGGTCATGATAGTATGTTCTTTTTTAGAGTCCTTCATTAATAGAGTCTTATTCAACAATACATTCTGAATATATCTGAAGCATTTTAATTATATGTTATTAATAGAGAAGATGCTAAGAGAAATTATTCACATTCTTTATCCAATCTTTTCATGCTCTTCATTCTCCCCTTTCTCTTCTCCCCAGACTCAGCTGCAGTAAGAGAAAGCTGGGGCAGAGGTAAACGTAACAATCCTTAAAATGAAGACAAAATAAAAACCCATAAACTAAAGAGTTCACAAAAGCAAGACTGGGTTGTGTATTGGCCATTCAGCAAACTGGCCATTTTGCGTACTGGATCCTGGAACATTGGCTTCAAGCTCTGCCCTCTCTGAGCCTTAATGTCCTCAGAAGACAGACTGGATGAAGCCTAAATCCATTCTAGCTCTGGTGAACAGAGGTTTTGTGGGAACCTCAAGTTTCATGGGTATAGAGGTGTGTGTGTGGTGGGGGCAGGGGTGTGCATATGAGTAAATAAATTAATGAATCTCAGGTGCCTGAAAAGCATTAAAATAGAAAGAGAACAAGAGGACTTGAAGGTTGAGGATGGAGAGAAAAGGAGGAGAAAAGGAGACTTTTACTGGGTTTTCTTTAATTGAACTAGATTTTAGTTCAGCAATGAGCTAGTCCTCTAATCTCAAAGTCTAATGTTTGGGCACAAATGTGTCATAACCAGAGGGTGAACATGGAAATGGAGCAGAGATGAGACCCTTCTTTCAACAATCAATTAAATTCACCAGGCAATCCCTGAATAAGCTTTGGTTAATTTTGTTTTCTTAAATGAAAGAAGAAAACTATACCATGTCTGGCGTGGAAGCAGACTTCCAGAAAAGACAGGGGCAACGTAGAAAGAAAATTGAAAAACGTATTTTGCCTGAGAATAAATGGTAACAAAAAATATGGTTCTTTAACTGGCTTAGTGTCATGGAAAAAGCACTAATCAGGACATCAGGGATCTAGGTTTGCTTCTACTATTAACTCACTTCGTAATAGGAAGAAAATCATGCCAACTTTCTTTCCTGCAGTTTCTTCTTATGAAAATGTGACTGTATCAGAGATAGAAAACATACTTAATATATATGCCACCACCATCCTTGTCCAGACCAGTGAGAGAGATCAATAATCACTCATAGCTATCTTTTCTGTTAACATCTAGACGTGTCCTCAGAATCCATCTCAACACGGTGCTTCCAGTAATCACTACCAAATTAATAGAGTTGGTCTCAAAATTAAACCTATCTACTCTTCAGGACTAGACCCCCAGTTCCCAGCCTATGGGCTGCAGACTGCCAAGAGGCAATGAGGTTACTGCAATATGTTTTTCAATATATGCTCGCTAAGCCTTGTCTATAATATCAACAAAGTTCTATCTTATCTGTGTCCTCATTCCCAAAAGATGCTGGGAATATCTGGCCTAGGGGATTTTAAACTCCTCCTCTGCTCCAGCATTTTCTACTCCTAGGCTAAATTTCCCTTTCTTCTACCCACTTGCCTTCTACCTCCTTCCTTCTACTCAAGATCTTCTAACACTAACACAGATTCTTTGATCAGAAAGGAATTTCCTCATCCTCTGTGGAAAGGGAAAGAACCAGGCAACATACGATATCAAATGAGTCACAATAATCATCATTGCTTTGCCCTTGAGATGAGCTGTGACCAACTTGAGGGTCATCTGCCAAAACTGGCTCTGGGCATCACCCTCATATTTCAGGTGAGAATGCCAGGTTCTTTCTTCCCATGTCATTTATCAGACCTTCTTAAATATTTAATTTCATCTTAGCTTCAAGTTTTGTTTCTCCTTCAGAGTTTCAGGCAATCCTAGCTTAGTTTGTATCCTAAGACATAAGGAAGTAGGGAATGTGAGCTTTGGTACCATCACTTATTAATCAAATGGCCTTCAGTAGTTTTCTTTATCTTTTTGAGCTTCAGTTTCTTCATATGTAAAATGAAATAGTTGTAGTAATTAAATAATATATATAAATTGCCAAGTACAGAGCCTAACATATAGTAAATATTCAATAAATGATAACAATAATAATGAAAATAATCTATTGGGAACTTACTGTGATGTCACATACTCTGTTAAACAAGTTATAGACCACCTGTTTAATTAAACATATTTCCTCTTTTTGATAGGTTGCAAAAATGGCCACAATTCTTTGCAGCTTATATATCTCTACTCCTTGATTCTGGACAATAATGTGAGAGAAGCTACCTTGTGTGAGTTACAAGCTTAGGCCTCAACAGGCTTTGCAGACTTTTGCTCTTGCTCTTGGGAGTCTGCCTACCTGCCATATAAACAAGACTGGCCTAGCTTACTGGAGAGTGAGAGACAAATGGAATAAAGACATGCTTTTCCAGATAAGGCCATCCTATATGAACCAGTCCTCAGCCAACATGGTAGCTGACCACATTTGCCATGAGTAAGCCTTGCTGAGATCAAGTGAGTCTGACTGGGATCAGCATAACTTCCTAGCTAATCCAAGCCCAAATTGCTGCCCCACAGAATTGTGAGTTACATAAAGGGCTGTTGTTTGAAACTACTAAGTTTTGTGATTGCTTGTAATGAAACAAAAAGTGATACATGTTTCTTCTTGAGCACACAACTAAACTACATGTCTCATATTCCCTTGCTTCTAGATTGGCCATGTGACTAGAAATGGCCATGTGTCACTTTCATGCAAAGTGGTTTAGGAGCTGGTGTGCCTTCTCACTTTCTCTTCCTCTGTCTGTTGACTGAATGCAGAGGTTCTAGCTGAGGACTCTACAATATAGACAGAACCTGGGTCCCCGAATCACCATGTGGAGAGGAGCCACTCACCAGACCAGAATGTCCATTGGTACTTTATGTGATCTAGTAATAAACTTCAATTTTAGTAAGCCAAGAGGTTTGAGGATGTCTATGGTATGGTAGCTGACATTACCTTAACTAGCACACATGAATTACATACTCAAGTTATCTCCGTTTACTGATGAAGAAAGTGAAGAGAAATTAAGCTAGTAAGAGTTAGAATATAAACCCAGTCGTGTGATTCATAGCAACTCCATATCCTGCCTTCTCAAGGTAATTGTTACAGCCATTATTATTAAAATTCCTTGAGGCTTTAATTTATTTGAGTGATGACTGATTATATGACAATGCAATCCCTTGTCATATCTTGCCTTTCCCTCATTCCTCAAACTCCAAAGACATTGAGGTTGGTGTGGAGGGAGGAATTCATATTGGAGTCTCTGTCTCTTCAAGGTACAGCTGCTCAGCCTGCTACAGTCAAAAAGAATGACCTGAAGACCTTGCACCTACAGAACTAACTAATGGGAGGGTTTTCTCCAGAGCTCTGGGTCCACCATACACTGTGATCACATGCATTTTAGTTTTCTTCTTTGGTTCCCATGCCTCTCACTTCATTTCCACCATAGCCTCTCCCAGTATTAGAAGGATCAATGAGAAAGACATGTTTGCTTCCTGTGCTTTCATTCAACAGCACCTATGTGCCATGCACTATCCTGGGCAGTGGGGCTACAATGACCAAAATAGATAGGATCTCTGCCATCACTGAGATTATAAATGAGAAAAAAAGGAAAATGAGTAGATAGGACATTGATACAGGTTTGCGTCTACGTAGATATAAATGAATATCCAGAACAGATGACTGATGGTGTATTTGGTGATTATTTTGCCAACATCTAGGACAGTGGTTCTTCACCTTAGTTTGTATGAGAATCATCCAGAGGCTTCTTAAAATATGCACTATGAGGCCTCATCTCAGATTTTCTTTTTTTTTTAAGTCAGAATTAAATTTTATTTCACATTGATAGAAACCATGAAAAACATTTACATTTTCCCATGTTACAGCACAACATTTCAACGGAATATTTCTTGCCATAAATAATATCTTGCTGATTTGTAGAACTGAAATAACAGTTTATGTTCTTCAAGGTAAAGAAAAATTACATAGTAAATGATTGTTTAAAATTTTAAAATCCAGACATAAACATATGGCTTCATTATTAACATCCTATAGAGTCCATTACTAAATTATTTCCATTATCGATTAGCACCCATTTATAAAGATGCATTCTTAATATTGTTTTGGTCAGCTGGAATACAGCAGAAAAATCAACACAGTTCAGAAATATCAAGCATACATTTTTGCTACATATTAATCTGCATGGTAACTACATTTTATGTATAGGGTTCTGACTAGCCTTTATTACCCATAGTTTGTTTTCAAATAATTTTTACCAGTAATCTGGAAATTTTGACAATTTAAAATGATTGCTATTTTTATGTTTGCACGAAAAACTAATACAAAAAATAATTTGACTAAAGTGAAAATTTCAAATAAGTCCACTGGCAGATAAAAATAAAGCAAAAAATTACAATAGATTCCTCATCTTCTACAGTAGTTGGTTTCAAACATGTGTACAAAGTAAACTCTATGCTATGAGAAGATGAAATCATCTTAGAAGTTAGTTTTTAAGATCAGTCTTAAAGATATTTCAGAACATACTAGAATATGATCTAATCATTCTTTCAGTTGTTTACAGAAAAATAAAACCATAGAATTATTCCTGTTACCTGGGTTGAAGATCCTAATAGCTAGGTGTAAATTTGGATAAGGTACAGTAATTTGAAATAAGTAGTGCATGAAGTTTTAATGTCTGGTTTCTCTATAAAGCATAAATAGATTTTAAATACCATATATCTGTGACCCAGAATGTCAAATTATAGCATGTATTGACAGTAGCTGTCTATGGCAGAGAGGCAATACTTGGTCTGCTATGAAGAACAATAAAGAAAAAACAAACTTTTTTTTTTCTTGAGAGAAAAGAGTATTAAGTAGAAATAATATCAGGGAAAATAAAAGCCCAAAATAAAAGGGCCATTAATTGAAGAGAACAATTTTACTCTTTCTTGACAATGAACAGCATTATCCCTATTATTAGGAATAATGTAATACCACCTCATTCTTACTATGCATTACAATCATTACGTATATATGAACACATATATAAAAATACAGACATTGCATGGTGACTAAGCAATTTTGGAATAAATCCATAGACTAAGTCACAGCATGCATAAATTGTTTATATCTTAACTGCTCATTTCTACCTGAACAAATTGTCATTAAGCATACTGCTAATTTTCAAATGATGTAATAAAAAAACTGGTGGCAGTACTGTATTATTTTGCTGAATTGCATTTGAGAAAAAAGAAGCTACCTGCTTTATCTATTTTAATATAGTAGATTCTGGATCTTCTTATAAGAATACATGTATAGAAACTTAAAAGATCATAAATTTCTCATGAGGAGACATTATTTGATCTGTGCCATTGGCATGTATTTGCAAAACATTTTAACACTGCAAAACATTAGAAATTTGAAGACTGGGCATGGGAAAAGGTTTATACTCTACTACAATGATGCTGGTGTACTTCTACACAAGGCCTCTTAGCAACGTCAATCAATTGGAGGTAGGAGTTTATCAATGAATTGCTTGACATCCATCATTTCCTGTTGACACGAACTGTGCATCATACCTTCATAGGTTTTAAAGGTCACATTGGCTGGATTCACCAATGTTTTTAGTTTTTCAACCGTAAGACAACCAAACATCAGGGGAACTAAAGGGTCACAATCCCCGTGGCACTGGAGAATAGAAATATCTCTATCAGCACCACCGACAGGACCCTGTGGAAAGGAAGCCCGAAGTGGAAGCCAGCAACTGAGTGCAGTGACATCTGCTAGCTTCTGCTGCGTGGTAAGGGCAGTATATAAAGATAAAGCTCTTCTCTGAGAAAACCCTCCCAAAATAATTCTGTTAGAAGGAATGCCATTCTTCACTTCTTGATCAATCAAAGCTTTTATATTTTCTGCTGCCTGTTTAATCCCAGATTCATCCTCCTGTGAATCTGGTGAAAGCCCAATAATATCAAACCATGAAGGCATAGCCATGTTCATATTTAATGTAACAGGCCTAACAGGCGCATCCGGGCAGATATATTTGATATGTGAACTTCTGATACCTGCAAAGGCTTCTGCCCATCCGTGCCCAGTATCTCCCAATCCATGCAGGAAAATCACCGCAGCAGTGGCCTTCCAGGCGGCGGGCATGATGGCGGGGAGTGGGGTTGACATGTTATTGCCACACATACACCCGCTCAGCTCACAGCGCAAGCGGAAGGAAGAGCGGGCACCCGGCCGCAGCCCAAGGGCGTGGGAGCGGCGAGTCCCAACCGGCCCCACCAGACGCCTCATCTCAGATTTTCACCTGGAAGATCAAGAGTAGGAGTCCAGGAATCTGCATTTTTAACCAACTCACTGGGAGATTCTAATGCAGAAGATCCTTTGAGAAACTCTAGCCTGTGCTAAGGTGCAGCATTTCCACAGAACTTTGCAGATGTGGTACCAGAACTCACAGGCAGATCTAGGCCAGGCCTCTTCAGCCAAAGGCTGGGGCACTGAGCAGTAACATGATAGTGCACTGAACTGCTAGCAAACAGAATGCCCAGAACAGAGAACAAAGAATCCAATGAAATCCATTGAGTCTGCATGAAAAGGTGGAGGGAAAGGGTAACTGTCATCACTGAAGTGACAAATAATGTGCTGAATGTAACTACTTTGCTTGAATTAAGGTAGCAAAATGTTTTCAGGAAAACAGATTTGGGGGACACACTAAAATAGCATAACAGACTGAAACACTTTACAAGAAACTCAACTTTTTATCTTACCTTGAATAAAATATTCATTGAAAAAGAAGAATTCATACCCAAAACAAGCAGTCCTAAATTGTTTCAAAAAGAACTACTAGTTACAGCTGTGTCCCTGGCCAAAGCCCAGTTTGGGGAGCAGATCGCTGTCCTTTAATAAGAGATTTAGTCCCTAAGGACAGAACAAGGACAAGTGGTTAGAAATTACCGGGAGGCAGAGTTCAGCTTGCTGTGAGGAAGAACTTTCAAATAATGTAAAACTGTAACAGGTTTTCTTGGAGGTAGCAAACTGTTACTTGAAGAATTTAAGCCAAGCCTAGATGCACTTGTATGTATTTATCAAGCTTTCTTTGTATCTAGTGATAAAAAAAGAACACAAGTTTAAGACCGTCCTTGGCCTCACTGAACTCATATTCTAGTGGGGGAGATGGACAAGTAAACCCACAATTATAACATAGCACAATGAGACCATGACTATAGTATATCTGGCTACTGCAAGAGTCCAAGAGCGGAGGTTCTGGCTCAAGTGAAAAGGTCAGAGGTTTCCTATTAGAAGTGACATGAGATCAGAATGCTAAGCCACTCAGAAGAAGGAATGAGGTTCTGGGCAGATGCAACTGCACGTGTGAGGGTCTGGAGGCATGAAACGGCATTGTGGAGGAGGAGAAAAGGTGAGAAATTCAGTGGGATATAGGAGGAAGGAGGCAGGACTAAACGCTAGAGAGCCAGGCATGGATCAGATCATGAGGAACTTCTTGAACTAAAGCGAAGGGTTTTAGTTTCATCTACAAAAAATGGTGAGATGCCATTGAAAACTGACCTCAATGATTTCTGAAGCCCCTTTCTATCAAAAATTCTTTGAGCCTAGTAAACTGTTTGCTTCTTCCAAGATTACGTTCTAAATTGGTAATATGTATATAAAATCAAGGCAATTTTAGAAAGTGGTTGAATAAATAAATGGAGCATTTACATGAGGGAGTACTACACAAATGTTAAAAAAAAAAAAAAAAAAAAAGAATAAGAAAGCTGATGAGTGAGTTCCAAGACATAATGGTAAGTGAAACAAAAAACATGGGAAAGTACAAAAGAGTAGTCACAATCAAGCATTTGTAGGGTCTTGGTATGTAAATGAGATGCTATTATAAATCAGTAGAGAAAGAACACACTTATTAATAAATAGTATTGAAGGAAGTGGGGGATAAGGGGTTATTGTTTAATGGTTACAGAGTTTCTGTTTGGGATTATGGAAAAGTCTTAGAAACAGATAGTGGTGATAGTTGCACAACATTGTGAATGTACTTAATGCCACTGAATTATGTGCTTAAAAATAGCTGGGACAGTAAATGTTGTGTTATACCTATTTACCACAATAAGCATTTTTTTTTAATCTTAAAAATACTTGAAGAACAAAGGGCAAAAAAATCGATGAAATAATTGAAAAAAGACATGAACAGACAACTCACAAAGAAGTTCTAAAAATGGCCCTTAAACATATGAAAAATGTTCAAACTCACATAATTACAGAAATACAACATAAAGCAACACTGATATGCCATTTCCTACCTGTCAGATTGGTAAACTTTAAAAGTGTAAGAACAAACTGTGTTTGCAAGGCTGTGGGCAACAGGCACTCTCATACCTTATTGGTGGGCATGCAAATTCGTACAATCCTTCTGAAGGGACATTTAACAATATGTACAGAATTGCATATGCAAGTTACCTTTTGATACAGCAATATTTCTTCTGATATATGTTTGTCAAAACAAAAATACATATGCAACAAGGTTATTTATTGTGGCATCATTTGTAATCACAGAATATTGGAAACAACCAAATGCTGATACATAGGTGAGTGGTTGAATAAATAAATGGAGCATTTACATGAGGAAGTACTACGCAAATGTAAACAAAAAAAAAAGAATGAGAAAGCTAATGAGTGAGTTCCAAGACAATGGTGAGTGAAACAAAAAACATGGGAAAGTACAAAAGAGTAGCATGCTACTCTTCATGTAAAAAAAGAAGATATAAGAAAATATACATGTATCTGCCCAATTGTGGAAAAGAAATACAGAAAGGATAAACCAGAAACTGAGGAGATAGGGTAACTACAGGAGGTGCATGGTAAGAGAGTGGAAAAAATTGAGGGAATGGGGAATATGTAATAGACATTAAAGTGACACTTGTATGTGTATATATTTTTGGTTAGTTCTGGCTTTTAGAACTATGTTGATGCTTTGCATATCCTAAAAAATTAAAACTAATATGTAAGGAGAGTTCAAAATGGAATACAGTCAGTAACACATGAGTCTAACTGTACTGCAAGTGAACAATATAACCACACTGAAAAGAAAAGAACTAACCTAAGTAACTTTGGTTAGCAAGATTGGTTGTATACTGTATGTTAAGACAGCAAACGGTGTATGTTGTTCTCCAGTTACAAAATTGTTTTCCACAGGGATTTAGATTAGCAATTCTGAAACTGCTCTATGTGTATAGTAGGGCTTAGCAAATGCCTAAATTTACCATGAATAATGAGAATCAAGTTTCTCACTGTTAGGAAATGGAACTACAAATAAAGAAAAGAGAAAGGCTAAAAGGAACCCTGTAGTGCTGTGTTGAAGGAATTATCAGTATGAACTCATAGTTTTAAATATATGTACATATGGAGAGGTATAGAAATAGAATAGGTGTATGTTATACATGCATGAACATATATGCATATATTCCCTAACTCTGTTTACTGAGAGCATGAGGAAGTAATGACACCCTAGTAGCAATGAGCACGCCTAGTGCTCACATCTTGATTTCTAAATACAATTCTCCACAAAAGAAACCAGGTCTACTTAGAGAAATGATTATCTCAGGACTGGGGCAGGGAAAATACAAGATAAACCTGAAACATCTTATGGTGCCAGAAAGTAAGGAAGTGCTCAAAAAATGATGAGGGCATGTCGAAAGGACATGGAAGTAACTTGAAGGAGTTCCCAGTGGAAAAATCTGGAACAATTTGAACAAGAAAATAATAATAGTAACAGTTTATAATCCACAGGAAAAAAATCTATACTGATATAAATAAATAAATAAATAAATAAATAAATAAATAAATAAATAAATAAAGATTTAAGGAGCAGCTCTTTCTTAAAGTAGAATTATAATTAATACATATAGAAGAAATGATGTAAATTGAAAGACATCACCATTTGGCAAAGACCACAGTAATAGAGTTATTGATGCATGCTGTTGGATGGAATGGTACCCCCCACCCCATTCCTATGTTGAAGCCCTAACCTCGAATGTGACTATATTTGGAGATATGGCCATTAAAGAAGTAATCAAGGTTAAGTGAGGTCATATGAATGGGCTCTAATCTGATATGACTGCTGTCCTCATAAGAAGAGGAAGACACACCAGGGATGCACACTCAGAGAAAAGGCCATATGAGGATACAGTGAGAAGGTGATCATCTGCAAGACAAGAGGAGAGGCCTTGAGAGGAACCAATCCTGCTGACACCTTGATCTAGGACTCCCAACCTCCAGAACTGTGAGAAAATAAATTTCTGTTGTTTAAGCCAATCAATGGTATTCTGTTATGGTGGCCCTAGCCAACCAATATAGATGCTAAAATTAGTGGGCAAAAGTATGATTAGAAACAAGATATTTACATAGTCTCAAAGCCTCTCCTCACAAGATGCTTTTTAATTACAAAGCTTAAAATAATAACTTTAAAGTAGTAGAGAAACCTTGCAGACACCACCTCAACCAACGATCAAGGTTAACATCACAAGTAATAAGACATATTGACATCACGAACCACTGATAGGATGACTTAAGACAGACACAACATCATTTCTGTGAGATTCCTACTAAAACTGCATAATCTCAATATAATCATAAGAAAACATTAAACAAGCCCAAATGGAAGGACATTCTACAAAATAACTGATCAATATTCTTCAAACGTGCAAAGGTAGTAGAAGACAAGGAAAAACTGAGGAACTACCACAGATTAAAGAGACAAAGGAGACATGACAACTAAATGCAATATGGAATTCTGAATTGGATCCTGAACCAGAAGAAGACATTAGTGACAAAACTGACAAAATCCTTATAAGGCCCACAGATCAATTAATGGTATTTTATGAAATTTAAGTTCCTGATTTCAATATTGTACTATGATTATAAAAGACGTTAACAGTAGTGGAACCTGGGTTGAAAGCATATGGGAAATCCATACTATTCTTGCAATTTATCTGTAAGTCTAAAATGATTTCAGTATAAACATTTTTTCTTTTTTCCCAAGATGGAATCTTGCTGTGTCACCCAGGCTGGAGTGCAGTGGTGCGATCTTGGCTCACTGCAACCTCCACCTCCTGGGTTCAAGTAATTCTCCTGCCTCAGCCTCCCAAGTAGCTGAGATTACAGGCATGAGCCATCACGCCCAGCAATTTTTTTTTTTTTTTGTATTTTTAGTAGAGAAGGGGTTTCACCATGTTGGCCAGGCTAGTCTCAAATTCCTGAACTTGTGATCCACCCATG